TAGTACTGAGGGAGGGATGGTATTTACTGAAGGAGAAACTATTAATTTCTCCCACACTTATTCACTGTGTGGCCCCTTTTTTATTCATTGCATAACATTTAAGCTTTACTTTAGACACAAAATTAAATTTCCCAATTGGCTTCTCTCATAAAAAACGCATATCACCATTAAATGTGAGCCATTCACAAACATTAATGAGTTATCTTACAACACTCTTGTGTGGTGAACTGACACTTTAACCTCCATTTTATACATCCCAAAGTGAGGCAACAAGAGACTAAGAGAAAACTTGTCAAACATCCATTAATTCGGAGTGCCCAGTTTAATATACCTAAGACCTCATTTTTCAGAACATCTTATATGTTGAAAGTACAGCTCAAGCTTGCTTCAACTGAAGTGATGAAAGCTCAACACTTTTGAACAAAATCAAGTGCCAGTTTGCTCAAGTTGAGTTCCCAGAAAAGGAGGGACATGTAATTCATGGCCACCTGTGAAAAATCTAGCTTTAAGGCTAAGTACAGGTAATCAAAAGCCCAAGCCTGAATTGATTCAACCTTTGCAGGCTAGTCTAACCTGCGTAGACTGAACCAACAAACAAAGCAGCCCTTCAGGCTGGAGGGAAGCTAAGCTGAGGGGGAGCGTGGCCAGGTTCTGGCAGGCTGAGTATGACTGGGGTGGGATTTAAACCCCAACCCTGGCCTGCAGGGACCCCAGCTGGGGTCTGCTCGGCTTTTCCCCTACTCGTGGCTCAGCACAGCCCAGGACCCATCACTGCTGCAATCCCTCTGTGCATGTCCCCACCTGGGCTTGGGGCCGTTTTGTTTCCCTCCTTTCCCCCAATCTGGCCTTTGTGCCTGGGCTGCCCCAAGTGAAACCCTGGCCCCAGCACTGAGAAGGTGCAGCAGGATTGCCCCCTGGCTGAGGGGAGGGGTCTCTGAGGGTCCTGAACCATGCTGAGCCACAAGCAAGGGGAAAAGCCAGGCAGACCCCAGCTGGGGTCCCTGCTAGTGTGAGAGAAGAAGCAGAGGGTTTAATGCCCCTCTGCCTGAGCCTGCTGTCCCCCCCACCAACCCTTCCACTCCAGTGGGGAAAAGTCTGGTGGGGGCTGCTCTGCTCCCACCAAGCAGATTGGGCTGCACCCCCTACACACACCCCTCCTTGCCAGCCAGCCGTCACTGCTTCAGCTAGAGAGCAAGAGAGCAGGGCCAATCCTACTCTGTTCCAGCAGACAGCCCAGCCCAGGCCTGCAGAGCATGCTGGGGGACTGTGATTTAACTTGAACTAGGAAAGGGTTTGGCACAGAAGTTCCATAAACTGGTTTGAGCCAAATCAGTTAAGTCTGATACTACATTCAACCAGGTTTATCTTAAAGTAGTTACAGCCATTTTGAAACTGGTTTATGTGCACTGAATTTATTCTCTATTCAGATTTAAACCAGTTTCTGATCACTTAAACTGGTTTATGTGCAACTTCTGCACCTAGTTTAAGTGACTTTTCTTCCTGAAGTGATTCATCTAACTTATGCAACAAATGATGCAGATGACCTTGACTGTATAACTCTGAACCATTCCCTGAGCACTAGGTATCCTCTTCCTCATTCAGGGCATAGGTCTTGGGGAAAAAATAACAGGTTATTACATGATTAAAATTCATTTGCACAAGGAGATGAATTAAGGTTGCCCAAACAACCTTGATTCTGACATTTTTCAATGCAGAAACCTTAACATTGTATTTACAAGGGTTTTTTTACTCAAATATTACTGCCAGGTTGTGGAAAGGGGGGTGGGGGGGTTGCTTTTTATGAAAGCAAACAAGTTCCATGTGTGAAACTATATCACACTCACACACGTCATGAACAGGGCTAAGACCTTTATACCATCAGCACAGAACTCTATCACTAGAGTTAAACGAGCAGCTCTCAGCTGGTCTAGGTTGTTGTAGTCTGTCTTATTCATTAAGCTATTAAGAGAGAGATGTCACCAGTTGTTTATAAAACAAGATAAATACTAAAAGCCCAGGGACTGGAGGGGAGTTTTCTCTAGTGGTTAGTTAGGTCCATTCCTTCCTCTGTATTCTTTAGTCTGACCTTTCATGACAGTCACTTCCAACAGTAACCTGCCCCTGTTCTCCTCATCTTCTGCTTCTAGTTTCCCTCCTGCAGACTATTTTTTCCTACTGTTCCTATTTCAGTTTTCTTGTCATGATCTCCCTGCTTCCCTTCCACAGAACAATTCCAGACAAACTACTCTTACTTCTCCCCCAGCTACCGTCTCAATTCTTTCTATACCTCAACTCTGCAATCCAGGTAAGTCCCTGCTTTTACCTCCATTACCGGTGCCTTGGAAGATAAGACACTGAAAGCTCTTCCCCCTTCTTCACTTTCAGTTACCTAGTGCTACAAACAGCCCCAACAGATGCATTTATCCATGGAAGTCTCTTCTCAGACACTGCTGCACTCAGATGAAGCATGCTCTATCACCCTAAAGGGGATGATGCATACAAAATGCTGCTGGTGCAATGGACTATGATCAGTGCGTGATCAAGGAACTCATCTGTCACACCCTAGCAAATACCTACTGCATACACTTTATTTTTCAGAAGCTTATTTTGTAGGACAACTTTAATTATAGACACTGCTGCTAACTCTATTCATAATTAAAGTTGTACCATATTGTTTTTGCCTTTAAACATCATTGTCTTCAGTAATCATGGCTGTCTTGTGTAACGTATGTTCCTTGCAAACATAGAAGACAAATATGTAACACTTGATAGCAGAAGTAGCCATGTTAAGTTAGCTTACTCCAGTCCTTATGAAGAATCTCAGGATGTCAAATGGAACCAAGTAACTTACATTAGACTTTCAAATAAGCAAAATGCCCCATTTTCAATGATTACGTCCAAACAGTTGCCAAAATGGACAAATTCTAGAATTCTAAAAAACAGCCTTCGCACAAGTTTTAAATACAATGTTCTTCTAGGTATTTCCACATGAGAAAGATGCACATTAAGACCTTAATGTCACACATTAACGCCTTATTTTCAAAATGTCAAAAGAGCCATGTACAAGAAAAAATAAAGTGCAAAATTAATACTATCAAATTTTTATACCATGCCTGTCACTACAGGGGATCAGTAAGAAAATGCAGGAAACACAGGACTTAGTCAAATCCTTGCAAATAACATACAGGAAATTTCTTCATAGATATAGCAACAAACTTGCTTACATATGCTCCTACCCTTACCCTCACTCACACTTGGCATCTGCACATGCAATTAACATGCATGACTAAACTCCGGAGTTCATCGTTCAGTCTTCACGTACACTTGGGACCGCACCAAGCTGAGTCAGGTCAGAGCAGCCCCGGCTGGCAGGTAGCCCCAGGAGCCAGCCTTCCAGCTCAGGGCTGTTCCCCCCTGGCTCAACTTGCTGCAGAGGGGATGGGGCATGAGGGTGTTTCAATACGGGGCTACCTAGCAGGCAGCCCCCGCACTGTAGCACCCTGCATTTTTATGGAGTAAAAAGCTCCACAGCAGGATGGTACTTGTATTTACAAATTCTATCCTGCTGTGAAGTAAATTGGTTTACTCCAGCTTGATAGGGGTGCATGTGTAGATGCGCAACATTTACTGTGCAGCTAGTTAGTCTACTGTACAGTAAATGTCTTCTGTAGATGTGCCTACAGAGGGGTACCTTACTCCAAGGGTTGTTCCATTTATTTCAGTGGGAAAGTGTGAAGTAGCATTTGCCTTTTTAGTATGACAAAATCTGTCCCTTAGGCCCCCTCTACATAAGCAGTTAAAGGCACAACGGGATCAAATGTAGATCTGCATGAGTGCACCTCCTGACATGCCATACATGTGACTGAGGAGGTGCGACTGTGGGATCACGCATTAAATCTCTTCACATCTTATTGCTGGTGCAGGGAGAAGTCAATCCCAGGCTACCCCTGCACTGGCAAGAAACAAAGTCCTACAGTTGTTAGCCCCCTCACTTGAGGGGCTCCCAGCAGAAAGGGTGCCCCATGCACTCCTGGCGTTAGGGGATCCTAACAGTTGAAATCTCCCAGCCTTGGGGGCATGTGAAACACCTGGGCTGTGATCATGGAAGCCATAATCCCCTAAGCCTGGGGTTTCACCCACCCGAGCCTTGGGGATCATGGCTACCACGATCCCTCAGACTCAGGGGTTCAACTCATCCCTAAGCCTGGTAGATCGCAACAGCCACGATCCCTCAGGCCCAGGAGTTTTACTCACACTAGGCACAGTGCACCCCTGTGGCTGAGAGCTCCCAGCTACATGGGAGACCCTGCTACATGTGCAAATTAAAGCTCAATAACAACCAGTTATTACACATTTTCGAGGTCTAACTTTATAGCTGGTTGGAGTTTTTTATGGCATGATTTCAAAGATTTCATAGACATTAGGGCTGGAAGGGACACTGGAAGATCGAGTCCAGCCCCCAACCCGAGCGGCAGGAAGTCAGCTGGGGACATAGGATCCCAGCAAGATAAGCATCCAATTTTCTCTTGAAGGTATTCAATGTACGTGCTTGAACCACCTCCGACGGCAGGCTATTTCAGACCTTGGGGTCTCGGACAGTAAGGAAATTCTTCCTTATGTCCAGCCTGAAACGGTCTTGTAGTAGTTTATAACTGTTCGACCTCGTCATCCCTTGGGGTGCTCTGGTGAACAAACGTTCCCCCAGATACTGGTGTTCACCCCTGATAAACTTATAGGTGGCCATCAGATCACCCTTGAGCCTGCGCTTTTCCAAGCTAAAGAGCCCCATAGTTCTCAGCCTGTCATCATAAGGTAAGCCTGATAGCTACTTTGCAGGTGTACCTGGTCTTAAAAGATATTTGCACAATTAAAAAATCATGCAATTAACTGGTTTTGTGCAAACACAGAAGTCTTGGCAATGTTTTACTACACAAGCTTAATGCCTATAGATTTCCCTACGAAGGGCCTATAACCAAGTTTTCAATTTTTCCTCATTATTTGTGTCCATTATAATATGTATTATGCTGAAAAAAATGTGTGCATACCTCCCACCGCCTTCTTTACAGTTGGGACAGGTGCAAGCTACACGTCGTAATCTTTTTCCTTCTTGATGCGGTTGGTCCCCTTCCTCATCTACCACCTGTACTCTCAGATGTGTTAGATCATTGGTATTCAGTGTAGAATCACCACCGAGCTGCCACTCTTCTGGATCAGGCTCCTCTTCTTTAATCCTAATATCTAAGGCAAAGAACAAACATAGATCCGTAAGTAGCCCATTAAACAGAGAGAAGGAAACCATAATGATCAAATTTCTTTACTGCTGAGAGTGCTGTGTGTCAGTCAAAAGTCAACAGATTTTAGTGCATACCGACACTGCTGCTGTGCCCTTTGTAGCCTATTCTGTATTTTAAAAGCATATCCAACTAGAAATTTCAAAGAGGAAGACAAAACAAGAACAAATTTTAAAACTTAAGTTTGAACTGCGCTTGGCAGCAAAAATCACCACCAAGACTGTATCTTTTTCTTGTAGATTTAAGGTGGGGGAAGGAAAGTGAGAAGAAATAAAATAAGTTTCATGTGTCTTCTACTCCGTACTCAATATTATTTTTAAAAAGACCGTTTTTCAGAGATACTGAATTAGTAAAGTTCAACAAGAAGTAGGTAACATTCCTGGGTGAACCTATGTAATATACAAATACAATAATTTATACAAATAACTAAGGACATTAAGTGAAGGACACAGTGTTCATTTTGATTTTATAAAAGAAAAACAATGCATTAAAGCAAAAACTAGGATTCAACATAGCAAAGACCATGAAAAATCCAATCCCTCCTTGGTTTTTCTCTATACTTCTTCTGTTTTCAAATCAAGACTGAATCAAATTCCAAAAGATGTACTTGAGAGCAAATCAACTACAAATTAAATTTTTGTTTTCCATGCCCACCAAGGGCTATCCTAGATTTCCAAAGATTCCAGAAGATAACAGTGTACTAAACAACTCTCCTACAAATTTCTCCAAAAAAGAAATGAAAAAAAAAGCTATTGCTGAAATTGCTGAAGTTTAAAAAAAAGACTTCCTGGCTAAGGAGAAGTGATGCATCTGCCCTGGGTCATTAAAACATCATATTGCTACTATATGGAAGCAATCTTAAGCACCAGACCCAATGCCTACCAACCTTCACTAATCACAAGGGACAAGAATACAGTTCCCAAGTTTACATGCACCTCCTGAGCCTTAAACAGAGGCAATAGTTAGACCTCATCTAAAACATACTGCATTCTTTCCTCTCCATTCTGGCATCGGCCCCTAAAAAAGCAGTTAGTCTACGAAGATACATTTCTTATTATGCACAAGATAACAGTATATCCAACTACTTTTATACAATCAGATACTTTTTTTTTTTTAATTACATGTAGTGAATTTACTTTCCAGAACCAGTAATAGCCAGTTCAGCTATACACATGCACCACAAACATTCGACAGAATGCAGCAAGCACTACATGTATTAATAGTTATATCATAAAATCAATATACCACATACTGTACTTAATGTTTTATGACATGCACAATAAAACTGAAATACTACAAAATGAACTACAGCAACACTGATATAATGAGAAATAGATTAATAGTGACTGTATTAGAATTTCTTGTTTTTTTCAAGGTATTTGTTATTCTGATCCTTCAAAAATGTTTTTTTTAAGATAACTGATATACTTACTTAATTTCCTGCACTCAAGGTTTACTTTACATACACTTTCACTTCAAAGAGTCACACTGACCATCTACAAAAACATTAGATTCAAAAATGTTTTTGAAACTTCAGTTTCTTCTAAAACATATACCAGAGCCACTATAGATTTGAAGTATTTTCCATTTATAAAAAGCAACTCTAAAGTACTGTTTATCTATTTATATCGCTAGAAATTCAATAGTATGTTTATAAATTTAGGAAGTTAGTTTTATTTCTGAGATTTTTAGGAAACTTATCCAATACAGCTTCCACTACAAGCATATAGTTAACTTGTTTGTTTGTTTTTTTGTGTCTTCTCCCATTAGGTTCTACAATGTGCTATATGCCCTTTTTCTCCATCTATTGAGCCTTTCTACATGACTACAGACTAGCAAAGCCATAGCACGTTCTGTTATAGGCGTGTTGATCAATTTTTGTGTACACAGAACCCATACTTCAACCCGTGTCTGTACAATCATCCCCCTCCCCCTTCCTCAACAGCTCTTTCAACTTATTTGTTTTGTTCTGTCTAAGGGTTCTCTTTTCTTTAGTGCTCTTATTTCCTACCTAAAAAGGAAATAAGGAATCTCTGGTTCCATGTGCCACTGGGCAGCCAACTCTACGTCTTCCACCAACACCTCCCCACTCCCTGAGCCCCAAGCCAGCTCCCTGCAGGACTACTCGCCCAACCAGCAGCACATGGAACCAGAACAGCACTATCAGCCCTTAAGAGATGCCGCACATGGAGGTGCCGAGCCCGGTTGGGCCAATAGCACCGCCCGCAGTCTACATGCTGCCATCCAGGCAGGCACTCCATGTCCTTAACCAACACCTCCCCACTCCCTCAGCCCCCAGCCAGTTCCCACAGCCACCTTCCCCACCAGCCCTGCCCCGCAACCCCCCAGCCCCCTGCAAGTCCCACTTACCTAACCTTACAGACTCCAGAAGGAACGTGAGTCAGAGGCAAGCCCTGGGACCGACTAAAAGCCTCAGGCCCTGCCCTTCCACTTCTCCCTTCCCCTCCAGGCAGGGCTGCGGATTTTCTGCCCTTTTTGCAATCAGCTCTTGCAGGCTGAAACTCTACCAGCCTGCAGAGCTCTGCAAAAGCAGGAAATTCTCCGTTTCTCTGCTAAAAAGGTAAAATCTACATTTTCTCTGATAAAAAATGGGAAATCCATGGTTTTCTCCGTTTTTCCGTGGGAAATGGAAAACCCGGATCTCTGCTCATCACCATATAACAAGAGGTACTTTTCTCCATAGCCTTCAGCTAATGCAGTGGATAGTTTACATAACAAAAAAATTACTACCATTGACCTCCCACACTTCTTTCATTGCCTTTCCCTTCATATTTTTCCTCCATTCCTCATCTATCTCCCTGGTCATCTTCACAGAATTTGTCTCATCCCCTTCTGCACTACTGTTTCCCAATTTGCCTGGCCATTCTGAACCCTTTTAAAGGTCCTCCTTGCCACTTTCAGCATAATCAAAAAAAAAATGATAGAACAGCACAGACCCTCATGGTAAGTTTCATATTTTTGATGACAGAAGCATTGTTGGTGGACTGACAACATCAAGCAGGAAGAAGCAGAGGCAGATGTGAAAAGGGAAAAATAAGATTCTTATGAATCTCTAATAACATTACTACATTATCTTGAGATTTAAAATTTACAAAAGGTAAAAGAAAACCCCTACAAATTAAAGTCCAAACAGAATTATACCTTCACTACATTTCTAAGTTATATAAGGCAGGTAAAATTGCTACTATTATGCTAGGGATTGCAGGGAGCAGATCTGGCTGAGTGGGGAAGCCCCCATAGCAGCTGCCCAAGGTGGCTGGAGAGTGCAAGCAATTCAGGCTGCTCACAGCCTCCCATCACAGAACTAATAAACATCCACTGCAATAAGGTGGTAGCATATATATTACCACCTTTTGTTGCACCACTGATTTTTCTTTGATGTGGCACAATAAAGGGTAGTGATCTTGAAGATAAGTACCAGAAGTTTGGGGTCTTTACGGCTGGGGCCTGTGAGCTACTGGGAGCTGCACACTGGGGCCCACCCAATCCAGCATACCATGTGCCAAGGTAAATCCATCATGCCAGAACTGTGGCCAAGTTATTACATGGTTTGGTAGAGTTGGAAGACAATACAGGACCCCACGCATGGTAGCTACATAGGCACATAGTTACTGTATACTGACATAATCCAAGATGTGTGGTTAATATCATGCAGTCTGTGTTATGCTGAGATAATGCAAATTTTCAATTCAATGCCATGGAAAGAAGAGAGACAGGACCCCATGATAACTGCATTGTTACAAAGATGCAAGATTGTAAGGAATACTTAGTCAATGGCTTTAGCATGAGGAGTACAATTGCTGGGATGGGAAATATTCAAAGACCTTAGCAGACATGAGTCTGTGTGGGGAAGAGAAAATCAAGCCATCCCTCAATCCCTACTTCTAGCACATGGTCTCAGCCAACTCTCTTCATACAGGTGGTGGTCAGTAATAGTTTCAATGTAGATGTCCCCTGACCATATAATAGTGTCAGATACCATGAGGCACTTCAGCAGTTTTGAGGAACAATGAGGTGCTCTCAGGATGCTCTCGTTGCTGGGCTCTGAGGTTTTAAGTGCCCCAAGAATCAGTGTCTGCACTATCACATCATATCCCTTCTTCCTCAGGGGATAAACCAGTGGCCTGTAGTCGGAGAGCCTTCACCCCTGGGCTTCAGCAAAAGCCTACCATTGGTACTCAAAGGGGATCATAACATTGATCAACAGGATCTTTTTATTGTCTTCATCTGTTACAACAAGGTCCAAATACAGATAGCTGTCTCAGCCTGGGACAACGTGCTTCACAGCTACTGTCCTAACCAACGCAGAAATGGCCTTCACCAGTCAGTCCTCTATGGTGATGTGGCAGAACTACCATGGAGCTTGCAGACATGGGGCTATGAGAGTGAGCCAGGGTCTCACTCTCATAGCCACACCTCTGGCATCTCTAGTCTCAGTGGCTACAGCAGATAGTGCCATCGAGTGAGACACAGTTAAGATAGGCATAATGGATGAAATGTCAGACTGTGAAGGTCCTGCTGGCCCCACTTTGACGTGACCTCAAAGACTGTACCTAGTCAGATCTCATCTTCAAATTTTAAATGTACCTGACCTGCAAAGCATCCTTCAGGAATGTTTCTAGGCAGGTCCTGACTAAGTGGAGGGGAGATGGGGGAACAGTATGGTGATCTGGTTGGCAGTTGTAGCTGGAAGCAGCAAGACCCCAGCTCCTGCCACTCCTTACACCAGGATCAGCATTAGTCAATACACTTCCCAGGATATCAGGTGGCATTGTGGGCTTGATTCCACAGCAAGGCAAAGTATCTGCTGTCTCACCCAAGCTCACCCTCCAACAATCCACTCAGGAATGTGGCCAGGTCCTTATTGATTGGTGACCTACTTCTGGTAGTCTCTTTTAGAGCACTACAGTGATGCAGCTCACCTAT